CCCTCAGGAGGCATCACAAAGGCTCTTGTTGATTTGTGCTGTTCTCTCCTTGGAATCTTGTCAGGGTGGTAAAGGATGACGGTGATGGGCACTTAGAGAAACTGGGGAGGCAAGGAGATCAAATCACAAAGGTATTTTAAAGCCATCTGCAGGGACTGGCCTTGACGACCCAGCTCAACCTGCTACTACAGGAGGAAAAATTAGATTTAATCATGACTCCTAGTCTTTCATTTCAGGAGGTCAGCAGGGGAACGTGTTCCACAAGTACGGGAAATTCAGTTTCTGACCAAGAACGGCCCTCTTCTAGGTAACCATCACCAAAAGATATGAATTGACAGGCTTTATATCTGGCAGGATATGGGTTCAAAAAGGGCTAAGAGAGCAGAGATTTAATTATAGCTATGATGTTCCCCTCAATACAAGAACATTCCGAGAAGCCAAAGTGTATTTAATGCAGCTTAGAATACCATTAAACCAGTTACTTAGAACTGTTAAAACTACCACTACTGGTCACAGGCACGTGGTCTAAAGTGTCTCCCTTTCAACTCAGGAAGCTGCTAATTCTTCTTCTAGAGGGAATATTCGTTGATTTCACTGTGAATTTAAAAGATCTGCCACTGCTTACTGCCTTCATGGACACAGCCTAGACAGAAACACTACCATGATGTCATCAATCTAGACTATCCCATGGCCTATAGAATATTAGAGCTTAAAAGAATCATGGAGATGGAAACTAGCCAAAACTTTTGCAGAGAGGAATCAAGAGCCAGAAAAAATGTAGCACTGTGCTCAATTCACAGAATTGTCATAAGGCTGGGGAAAAACTCAGTTACAGGAAGAGTTGATCATGGTCCCCGCCCAACATTCTTACACAGAAAATGTTCGATAACTCCTTCTAACCCGTACTGTTATCCTTGCTACACAAAATGTTTCTTTTTAAAGACATTGCCCCCACTGGCCATTTAACAGTGCTCAGTAAATGTTTGTTGACTGAATGAATGAATAGATTACAGACAGTCTCTTTGGAGCCACAACAATAGGACCAGGTAGAATTAAGTAATGAAACGGTACAAGGATTCAGGAGAGCTGGGGTGGAATTCTTTCTGTTAGGTTTGCTGTAGTGTAATTTATAAAAACTCTCTGTGCTTTAGTTACCCTATAGTTTAAATGAAAATGAAAATATCTTACCTGCAAAAGCAGACAGCTTTTCCTGAGTATGTGTCAGGCTCTAAGATGTATGATTCTAAGCAAAGCTACATAAAGCAATTTTATTTGCTTTATTTAGGTATCCTGCCTCATTACCAAAAATATATGAGGCAGCTTCCAACAAAAGTAAGCAATAAAGTTTTGCAACAACCAGATTTGGCCTCATCGCATGACAGAGGTTAACTTTAGAGGTGTGCTTTCGACTTGCGCTAGGGGTCTGGCTAACCTCATACAACTAATCATGCGGGAAGAATGGAAAATCTATACAGGGTCCTTATTAGAATGCCAATCTAGATAAGAAACATAGAAAATACAATGCAGTCAGTGGATTAAACAGTCCTAGATACACAGTCCTAGAAACATTTTTTAAAGTTCTTTTTAAAATCACAGAAAGAGAAAGGCTCCAACCAGAGGTTTGTAGGCTCTTCAAAATGTAGATCAGAAAAAATATACCTAAATCTTCAAAGAAGTAGTCTTCATTAAAATCTTCAGCACAATTTCACAAAAACTCTTGGTTTCTTTAAACTAGATGTTATCATTGGAGGTTAATTGCCTGCTATTAATTTTAGCCTTACCTTTCCTATTTTTACAACACAAGACACAATATGGTACTTTCCACGATGTCTGCTAGGCCAGTAACATCACGCTAGCCCCTGGGGTCCTGGCACAGGGTGTGGGATAGACAAAATACTGGAGGAGCTGTCTGCATAGGAAGTCTGCTTCTCAACTTTGATTCCCCTTTCTCATTTTCTCTCTGCCTTCTTACCTGAGAGGACAAATCAAAGCAGCTTCAAGACTTGAAGACAAAATCCAGATTCCCCACTGTTAAATTCATTAAACGAAGAGGCCATCAGGCTGAGGTGGCCTTCATGTCGACAGAAGCAAACCCAAACCGCCCCCCCCAAACCCTCGCCTGCAGTGGCCTCAAGGTTGAGACATCACAACCTAAGGACAACCTGTCCCAAACTCCCAAGGCTTTTCTGAATCTGGCAAACACTTCAACTATGGCCAATCAAATAATTTCTTTGCTTCGCTTCTGCCTTTTCTGCATCAAAGTTTCTCCCCTCGCCCAGTCCCCGGGTGCCCCTAATCACTTGCAGTTCGGCGCTGTCCCACTGACATTGATTTTTTGCTCAGGTAAACTCTTAAAATTTTGTAATATGCCTCAGTTTATCTTTTAGCATCACTTACGTTCAAATTTGGGAAGTTTGATTAATGTGTCAAACCTTTGCTTTTGTGATGAACATTCAGACTCATCCTTTGGTTGGACTATCGGGGAAGGTGAATTTGACAGACAGGTAGGCCCCCTGTTTCAAACAAGCATAAACACTGAGTCTAGTATTTACAAGGGTGAGTCCCCAGACAGTGGTGGGTTTTGGTGTTTGTTTATTTTTAATTTTTTCGCTTTGTTTTATGATTTTTTTTCCTTGCTTGCTTTACTGTTGTGTTAACAGCTGTTACAACCGTTGATTGGTTTGCCTCCATCATGGACATACTTGGTCCTCCTAGAATTTATTACCTTCAACTTTGTAAACCCATCACTCAGTCACTTGGTGGTTCAAACTGTTGAGAGTAAATAGGATCTAAGGAAGGACCCGAGAAATCTGTGAGCTTTAGGGCCTGGCCTCTGTAAATTTTCTTTGGGTTGCTGTTCTAGACATAATTCTTTTTCTCTGGTTAGGTTATGAATAAGCAAGCCTATCCAATCGTGCATAGAGGAAACATTCCTATTTGTTCATAGTTCAGTAGTACGTGGTTCATCAAGACTGACGTAGGAAATTGGCTTAGATTTTGATCCCATTTCAGAATGATTTTTTAGGGAAGATAAGCAAATCGAAAATGGACGCTTTTCAGAAATAAAGCCTGAGAAAAATTGGCAAAACCACCGCCTGGTTATCTACATGGCAAGTTATTCCTACACACTTCATGGGCTTTCAAACTCATAAAAATATTTTAAATTATTCCTGAAGTCACCACCATAGCAAATCATTCGGAAGCAAGATGAAGGGATACATGCCATAGTGTTTCCCGTCCCAGCTACAGTGACAACCAAAGCAACAGGAGGGCCCTTTGAATAGTCTGGCTGAACAGATTGCCTGCTTTCTGTCCACTGTATGTTAATTAAACCACTGACAGAAAACCTTCAAAAATAATTTTCTCCAACACATTTTGCTGTAGTTGTTAATCACATAGCTCGTGGAAACATTAAATGCACCTAAGGACTTGGATATAAAGAAAAAAAGCTTAAAGACATATTTCTGTACATTTAATATATAAATTGACCTTAACACATTCTGGGGGTATTTTATTCAATAAAAATAGCAGATAAGGTATTATTGAAGAAGGTATTTTACCATATTTTAAATAGACCATCATTATGAAACCCAATAATGTCTAATTAATCTGAGAGTAAAAAAATAAACTCGGGTACATCCTCATACTATTCTTTGCAAACCTTGCAAGTCTCTTTTGTGCTGTCATCTCCTATAAAATAAAATCATTTAAAATAAAAGGGAACAAAAGCTGTTCTGGGCTGGATAGGTTTCTACCTGTGTCTTATCCAAATGATTTTATTTGAATACCATACATTTAACTAATAGCTGAGTGCATCTTTAACCCTATTTCTTGAGTCTTGCATACAAATCACATACACAATATATGTCGAGCTATCAAGAAGGAACTACATCAACTGACCCACATCTTGTGTAATGAGGCTCCTTTACGACTGCACTTGTTGACACACAGTGTGGGCTGCACTTCATAGGTGGACCAAATCACCCTCGCGGCTCCTCTGCGGAAACATTAAATTTTTTCACTGCAAACAGAATCACTGGCTAGATTCATCGGAGGATACATGAGAATACTTGGCTAAGGTAGCCTGTCATATGGCTTTGCATCTCAGTTGATCACAGAAGTGAAGAGGAAATTCTACCCAAAGAGTTACATCCGTGGTCCTGTCCCATAATGAGCTGGCTATGCAGTGTGCTTTGAGATTGTAATCGACAGCATTACCGGGCAAGACAGCTACAGAAGAAAAAGCGCACAGAACGTCTTGTCCAGCAACAGTAAAGGGTTTGAGGGGGACCTAGACCTCGTTTTCTTGTTAAGCTTCCCGTGTGATTCTTTGCATCCACCACAGGCCCCTTAGGTCATGTCCTCATCATCTTGTGCCTCCTACCTGGTCTTACTTTCTTCAAACTCTTCCTTCTCCAATATTTTTTCCATCTGCTACCAGAGATACCTTTTGAATTTATTCACGTCTCCCTTATGATGAAAACCTCTAATGGCTCCTTCCCACCCATCACAACTATAAAACACCTCATGTCCTTGTTCTAACCACACTTCCCTGTCTCTGCCTCCCCCGCCATGCCCTACGCTCCCAAGATACAGAATTTCTCAATAATCTCCACCTGCAGTGAATACCTTGCATGGGGGAAAGCCCTTCCTCACCCCAGACTTTGGGAACTCTCACAATTCCTTCCAGATCCAGCTCAAATATTGTCCTGGTAAATGGTGCTTCCCTGACTCCTCCAGACAAAGCTAATTGAGTTTCCTTCTATAATCCAATAACTCTTTACCCGGACTCCTTAAACACTTTGCCTATCCCGACTCCAGTGTGAGACTGTGCA